AGGTGTAAAGTGCTTTGCCGTATGGCTTCGTATGACTATGTGTCTATAAGCCTGGCGGAAGTGTGGCAAGAATGCCTAATTAGTGATCAAAGGCTAGCGGAGGCAGGAGCTCAAATGACCAAGAAGGAACAGAGAGTGCTGGGGTTGAATGATGGAGAATATCATAAGGGCCAAGCTTGTTCCTTATTTCCAGCGGCACGGCAGGTCTTTCTGTCTTTATGTCTTATGTTTTAGATGGCTTTGTTATGATAGAAACTGGCCCATCATCTTTTCAATTGTTCACCTTGTAGACCTTTCTGTAGTCAATAATCTCCGTGGCCGGTATGACGCTTGTTGTTGCGTGTGTGTTGGTTGTGTTTCACGTTCACATATCACGTCCTATCTTTCCTGGCCGTGTGCTATTTTATGTGTCCTCGGACCATGTTAAGACAATTCATTCTTCTTCACATCGGTGGACCTCTCAGGTGAAGCTCTCTCAGAAGAATTGGAACACCAACTTGAATTTGTTTCGGTATAGAAATATATATTGTTTGAGCCTGATCGCTCACAATGGAGCGCATACTGAGTACTATTGTTGTGTCTGTTTTGTTTTCTTTGATGATGGAGAGCTCGGCGCAGGTTGTTCCTGGTGCTGGCAGCATGCGAGCTAGCGCACTTGCTAGAGTTCCAAAGGCCTCGGGAGACAGAGCTAAACTTCATCTCAAAGAAATAACAAAAACAATAACGTCTCCGGCCAGTATGACCACCTCCCGCGCTGGCTCCTTCTCAGAGATATCAAACTGGTACTCTTTCCGTATGTTCTCCTCTTAAGCTCTTTTACAATCAGAGTTTAGCTTGCCGGATTTCTTATCCATTGCCGTGTTTTCCTCCACATTCTACTGACAATAATAATTTTTTTTGCTGACTAATATTTGTATTTACTAATCTAATGGTAGAGACAATTTCACCATTGTGTTAGCCAGGGCTCGTAGGTCTCGAACTCCTGACATCAGGTGATCCACCTGCCTCAGCTCCCAAAGTACTGGGATTACAGGCATGGCCACCGAGCCCAGTCACAAAGTGACCTTCTAAAAAAAAAAAAAAAAAAAAAAAAAAAGTCCTTTTTGCAAGACAAAAAGTGCTCTTATGATAATTCTTTAATTTTTAATTTTTTTTTTTTTGAGACATAGTCTCGCTCTGTCACTCAGGCTGGAGTGCAGCAGGCTCAGGGGCCATCCTCCCCACCTGAGCCTCCCGAGTAGCTGGGATACAGTACACACGTCACCACACCAGAGTAATTTTTGTATCTTGGTAGAGATGGGGTTTTGCCGTGTTGCCCACGTTGGTCTTGAACTCCTGGGCTGAAGTGATCCACCCGCCTCAGCTCTCCTGAAGTGCTGGGATTACAGGCGTGAGCCTCTGCGCCTGGCCTATGATTTATGGTGGAGATAAGGAGATGATTATGGTATGATTTCATGCCTTCCACAGTTTATTCGACATAAAAGGGATTTAAAACAAAAAAAAAAATGTTGACAGGCTTAAGGAGGAGAAGAATAACATGAACACACTTCATGGAATGCACTCGTAGGCGAAGTACATTAAGCGAATAGTGAGTGAGTTCCAAATTGTTAAAGTCCTGATGCTCACAGGATGGAGAAGGACTATGTGAAAAGTAAAATCTAGTTCAAATTTGAGGTGAACCAGCTGGTACGGTGACCCACGCCTGGAATCCCAGCACTTTGGGAGGCCGAGGCAGGTAGATCACCTGAGGTCAGGAGTTCGAGAGCAGCCTGACCAACATGGTGAAACCCCATCTCTATTAAAAATACAAAAATTAATGGCCAGGTGCGGTGGCTCATGCCTGTAATCCCAGCACTTTGGGAGGCCGAGCGGGGCAGATCCACTGAGGTCAGGAATTTGAGAACAGCCTGACCAGCATGGAGAAACCCCATCCTACTAAAACTACAAAAAAATTAGCCAGGTGTGGTGGCACATGCCTGTAATCCCAGCTATTCAGGAGGCTGAGGCAGGAGAATCGCTTGAACCGGGAGCGGAGGTTGCAGTGAGGCGAGATCATGCCGTTGTACTCCAGCCTGTGGCAACAAGAGTGAAACTCTGTCTAAAAAAAAAATGCAGTGGCACAATCTTGGCTCACTGCAACCTCCGCCTCCCAGGTTCAAGCGATTCTCCTGCCTCAGCCTCCTGAGTAACAGGGATTAACAGGTGTGTGCCACCGCACCAGCTAATTTTTGTATTTTTAGTAGAGATGATGTTTCACCATTTTGGTCAGGCTGGTCTTGAACTCCTGACCTCGTTATCCGCCTGCCTCAGCCTTCCAAAGTGCTGAGATTAAAGGTATAAGCCACCGAACCCAGCCCTGGGTTTTTTTTCTATCTGGGAATCAGGTTCTCCTTCTCCTTCCCATGTTCTGACTTCTATGAACAGTAGTACTTCTTACCTATGTTGCACCTCTCTGCCTGCATGCTCAGCTCTCTTGGCAAACAGAGCTTCTTGTGAGATGGGACCAAGTTTCACTCACCTTTATCTTCTAAGGTCCTTATGCACAGGGCTACATGTGTGTAGGATGCTTACTAAATGCTTTTTTTTTTTTTCTTTGAGATGGAGTCTTGCTCTGTCACCCAGGCTGGAGTGCAATGGTAAAATCTTGGCTCACTGCAGCCTCCGCCTCCCAGGTTCAAGCAATTCTCTTGCCTCAGTCTCCGGAACAGCTGTGATTACAGGTGCCTGCCACCACGCCCGCCTAATTTTTTTTCCTTTTTTTTTTAGTAGAGATAGAGTTTCACTGTGTTGGCCATGCCGGCCTCCAACTTCTGACTTCAAGTGATCTGCACGCCTTGGCTTCCCAAAGTGCTGGGATTATAGGCATGAGCTGCCACTCCCAGCCTGTTACATGTTTTTCTTGTGTGAATTTACAAATATCAGCAATCTGTAGCTCCCCGTTTTCCAGTTTGTGACTAGCTTGGTTTGGGGGGTCCCTGACACTTGAGTGTCTGGGTAGACTGTGGAAAGCTGATGTGGGTAAGACTAAGAGAGAGTAGGAGTGTGAGTGGGATCCCATGTTATGGGATCAACCTCTACTTCATAGGGTCCTTAATGATCAGTGGATTCAAACACTTAAAAAAAATCTTAGAACTGTATGACACAGCAATGCCACTTCTCGGTATATACCTCCACAGATTGAAAGCAGGACATTGAAGGCCGGGTGTGGTGGCTCACGCCTGTAATCCCAGCACTTTGGGAGGCTGAGGCGGCGGATCATGAGGTCAGGAGATCGAGACCATCCTGGATAATATGGTGAAACCCCGTCTCTACTAAAAATACAAAAATTAGCCGGGCGTGGTGGCGGGCGCCTGTAGTCCCAGCTACTCGGGAGGCTGAGGCAGGAGAATGGTGTGAACCCGGGAGGCGGAGGTTGCAGTGAGCTGAGATCAGCTAATGCACTCCAGCCTGGGCGACAGAGTGAGACTCCGTCTCAAAAAAAAAAAAAGAAAGCAGGGCATTGGAAGATACTTGGATACCCATGTTGATAGCAGCATTATTTAATAGCCCTAAAGTGAAGACAACCCAGATGTCCATCCGTGGGTGAACTGATAAGGAAAACGTGGCATGTACAGACAATGGAATATAATTCAGCCTTAAAAGGGAAGGCAATTCTGACACATGCCACCACACGGATGAACTCTGAGGGCATCATGCTCAGTGAAACAATCCAGTCACAAATATTGTATGATTCTACTTATATGAAAAGCCTAGAGTTGTCGAATTCATACAGACAGAAAGTTGAACAGTGGTTGCCAGGGACTGCAGGGAGAGGAGAAAAAGGAGTCAGTGAGTAGAGTTTCAGTTTTGCCAGATGAAACCAGCCTGGGAGGTGGATGGTGGTGATGGTCGTACAACAATGTGAATGTACTTAATGCCACCAAACACTACATGTAAAAATGGTTAAAATGGCCAGGCGTGGTGGCTCACGCCTGTAATCCCAGCACTTTGGGAGGCTGAGGCAGGTGCATTCACCTGAGGTCAGAAGTTTGAGACCAGCCTGACCAACATGGTGAAACCCCGTCTCTACTGAAAATACAAAAATTAGCTGGGTGTGGTGGCAGGTGCCTATAATCCTAGATACTTGGGAGGCTGAGGCAGGAGAATCGCTTGAACCTGGAGGCTGAGATTGTGTCACCACATCCCAGCCTGGGCGACAAGAGTGAAACTCTGTCTCAAAAAATAAAATAATAATAGTAAAAATAAATAAACAAACATCTTAGAATCACCCCTTGCTGGGAACTACAGAAACGTCAAAGTCAGCGGGCCACGGTGGCTCACGCTTGTAATGCCATCACTTTGGGAGGCCAAGGCGGGAGGATTGCTGGTGGCCAGAAAGTTTGAGATCAGCCTGGGCAACATATGAAGACCCCCTATCTCTACAAAAAGTAAAAAAATTATCTGTGCATGTGGGCGCACCTGTGGTCCCAGAGGCTGAGGTGGTGACGTGGGAGGACAGCTTGAGCCCAGAAGGTAGAGGTTGCAATGAACCGTGTTTGTACCACTGCATTCCCAGCCTGGTCGACAGAGAGACCCTGTCTCCCCCTACCCCAAAAAAAAAAAAAAAAAAGTAACGCCTGATTGCATCACTACAGATACGCCCACCCGGCCGGCCCTGTCAGTCCCACCCTGCCGGCGCAGGACTTCATAGGGTCTCAGCGTTTCCCGCTGCCATTTTAAAGATCCCGCAGCTCCAGCTCACGTCTGCTTGCAGTGAGCCTCATTGCCTCGGATCCAGGGCTCCTCGGTCGTCGCAAGTAGTCTGGTAAAATCTTGGGTGTCCCCCTCTTCTGTCGACCGCGGGCCGTACGGTTCGGGGTCCCGGAAGGAGGCCTCTGCAATGCGCGCGCACTGTTGCATCAGCCTGGCCCCCTGGGCGGACTGCGGAGATACCCACTTTTCAGATGAGAATCCAAGGAGCTTGGAGCTGTGGATGTGAGCAGGGATTGCGCTGGGCTTGCATGCGTGTCCAGAGACTTGAGACCCGTTTCCTGGGTTCAGCCTTACGCAGGGGCTCTGCGGGATGCGAGAGTGATTTCAGCCTTCCATCGGTGATTTCTGTACGACCACCCAGAAATTCTCTGAGGCCGGCTGTATTATCGGCAGCATTTAAAAAATTGTGGTAGAAAACACATAATATAAAAATAACCGGGAGGCTGAGGCAGGAGAGTTGCTTGAACCCAGGATGCGGAGGTTGCAGTGACCCGAGACTGTGCTACTGCACTCCGGCCTGGGCAACAGAGGAGACTCCGTCTAAAAAAAAAATTTACCACCTTTTCCATTTTTTCTTTATTTTTTATTTTATTTGATTATTTTATTTTAATTTAATTAAATTAATTAATTTATTTATTTGAGATAAGGTCTTGCCTAAGCTGACTACAAACTCCTGGGCCCTATCCATCCTCCCACCTCAGGCTCCTGAATAGCTGGGAGTACAGGGTCATCACTGTGCCTGGCTTAGCCATTTTGACTTTGTATTTTCTTTGTTCATTTATTTTTTGAGAGAAGGCCTTGCCCTACTGCCTATGCTGGAATGCAGTGGTGCTATCACTACCCAATGCGGCCTCCACCCCCTTGGTTCAAGAAATCCTCTTGCCTCAGCCTCCCCAGTGGCTGGAACTACAGGCATGCACCACCACACCCGGCTAATTTAAAAAATTACTTATTTTTGTAGAGACAGGGTCTCACTACGTTGCTCAGGCTGGTATCAAACTCCTGATCTCAAGCGATCCACCCACCTCAGCTTCCCACAGTGCTGGGATTACTGGCATGAGTCGCTGCACCCAGTCTGCAACTATTGTTTTCAGAGCAGTTTTAAGTTTGCAGCAAAATCCAGAAGTTTTTCATGTTGCAAAACTGAAAACTATGTCCATTAAACATCTCTCTGTTCCATCCCTCTCCGCCAGCTCTTGGTAGCCAGCTTTGTGTCTCTGAGTTTCACTACTCCAGATTCCTCTTGCAAGTAGAATCATATAGTATTTGTCTTCTTGTGACTTGCTTTTCTTTCTTTCTTCCTTTCCTTTTCTCTCTCTTTCTTTCTTTCTTTCTCTTTCTTTTCTTTCTTTCTTTCTTTCTTCTTTCTTTCCCTCTTTCTCTCTTTTTCTCTCTCGCTCACTCTCTTTCTCCCCTTCCCTTCCCTCATCTCGTCTCCTCTCTTTTTTTTTTTTTCTTTTTTTGAGGCGGAATCTCACTCTGTCACCCAGGCTGAAGTGCAGTGGCATGGTCTCGGCTCACCACAACCTCCGCCTCCCGGGTTCAAGCAATTCTCCTGTCTCAGCCTCCTGAGTAGCTGGAATTACAGTCGTGTGCCACTGCGCCTGGCTAATTTTTGTATTTTTAGTAGAGACGGAGTTTCACCATGTTGGTCAGGCTGTTCTCAAACTCCTGACCTCAAGTGATCCACTCGCCTCAGCCTCCCAAAGTGCTGAGATTACAGGCGTGAGCTACTGCTCCCAGCCAATTAACTCCAATTATATCAATTACACAGCTCCTATGTCTTGTGTGCCGGCACCATACTGGAAGCTTTTGTTTGCATCTCTTTAAAGAAGAAACCCTTCCAGTAACTTTTAGTTTTTTTTTTCCTTGAGATGGGGGTCTCACTATGTTGCCCAGGCTGGTGTCGAACTCCTTGGCTCAAGCAATCCTCCCACCTCGGGCTCCCAAAGTGCTGGGATTTACAGGCGTGAGCCACCCCGCCCAGCCATGTAACTTTGAAAAGTATTAAAGTTCCTGTTTACATTTGAAGGCCGCGAGGTTCAGAGATGGATGATTTGCCCAGAATGTTTTTCACTACCTGCTCTTCCCAGAACTGCACTGTTCAGGGGAGCTGGTTCTAAACCTGATTCCCAGGGCCAAAGTGGTACAAATACTCTTCGCGGCTTTCCGTCTGAGTGGCCTTCTGTCTTGTATTCTCTGCAGATCTTAGCGCCCTCCTCAACTCCATCTCAGTTGGTCTGGCAGAATATTCGCCAATTTGGTGGGAAGCTGATGCGCAGCCGGCCCCTGCAGCTGGGCCAGGGGGTCTCTGAGCATCGTTTGTCTCGTTGTCTGAAGACCCTGGATCTGGTGGCTTTGGGTGTGGGCAGCACCCTGGGAGCGGGCATGTATGTCCTAGCTGGAGAAGTGGCCAAAGAGAAAGCTGGACCGGCCATCGTCATCTGCTTCTTGGCGGTGGCCCTGACTTCTATGTTGTCTGGACTCTGCTATGCGGAGTTTGGAGCCCGGGTGCCATGCTCCGGTTCCGCCTATCTCTACACTTACGTCACAGTGGGTCAACTGGTGGTTTTCATTACTGGCTGGAACCTCTTATTCTCCTACGTCATTGGTGAGATGATGGGGCACGGAGGGAGGTGTGGGAAACACAAAGGAATTAGGATCTGCATAGGGAGGGGGGAGCTGGGGGAGCCATGGTGGCCTTCAGACTCGCTTTGTTTATCCACTTTGTGGGAGGGAGGGTGGCTAATGGTGGCAGGAAAAGGCCCAGATGCCCTTTACGCAGTCTCATTCTGCTTCCCTTCCGGGATTGAACAATAAGAGGAGATGGGAACTGTGGGATGTACGGGATAGAGTTCTTGTAGATTTGGGGGAGATGCGTGCCACAAACTCATTCCCCCACCATTTTTTTTTTTTTAGACGGAGGCTTACTCTGTCACTCGGGCTAGAGTGCAGTGGCGTGATCTCAGCTCACTGCAACCCCCACCTCCCAGGTTCAAGCGATTCTCCTGCCTCAGCCTTCCAAGTAGCTGGGATTACAGGCATGCACTACTAAGCCCAGCTAATTTTTGTATTTTTAGTAGAGGCGGGGTTTTGCCATGTTGGCCAGGTTGGTCTCGAAATCCTGACCTCAGGTGATCCACCTGCCTCGGCCTCTCACAGGCATGAGCCACCATGCCTGGCCTATTTTCTTTTTCTTTTTCTTTTTCTACTACTCCTCCCCATCCCATCAAAAGACTTTTTTTGAGATTAGGTATTTTTCTTTTCCCTTTTTCTTTTAAAAATGATTTATCCCTGGCTGGGCGCAGTGACTCACGTCTGTAATTGCAGCACTTTGGGAGGCTGAAGTGGGTGGATTACTTGAGGTCAGGAGTTTGAGACCAGACTGGCCAACATGATGAAACCCCATCTGTACTAAAAATACAAAAATTAGTTGGGCGTGGTGGCAAGTGCCTGTAATCCCAGCTACTTGGGAGGCTGAGGCAGGAGAATCACTTGAACCTGGGAGGCGGAGGTTGCAGTGAGCCGAGATCGCGCATGGCACATGGTCAGGGTTCAGCACATGTTCATAAATGCACGTTCCTCCTTCTGCCGCTGCAGGTGCCGCCAGCGTGGCCAAGGCCTGGAGTTTTGCGTTTGACAGCCTGATCGGGAATCGCATCTCCCCTGCCCTGCAGGGCATTTCTCTGCACGTGCCTCAAGTTCTGGCCAAGTATCCAGACTTTTTTGCGCTGGGCCTGGTGTTGGTCCTCACTGGTGAGGCGGGGGTCAGAGATAAGATGGGGTGAGGGGGCATGGAGGAGGAAGGGGGTGGGAAAGGCTTGGGGGAGGAGGCAACGGTGGTGGGTATTAGAAAACCAGAAGTAAGAACCTATGATGGGAATCACAGGCAGGTAAGACTGGGACCACTGTTTCCACACGTTGGCATTAACATCCTGGGGCACGTGATTCTTTGTCACGGGGGCCACCCTGTGCATTACAGGGCATTGAGCAGCATCCCTGACCTCTACCCATGGGATGCCAGGGGTACCCAGCCCCAAATTAGGACAATCAGAAGCTGAGAACCACTGACTTAGAGAAGTTTCTTCCTCTCTACTTAGAACAGTTTTTTTTTTTTTTTTTAAGGCAGAGTCTCTCTGTTTCCCAGGCTGAAATGCACTGACACAATCATGGCTCACTGCAGCCTCGGACTCCTGGGCTCAAGTGAGCTCAAGTGATCCTCCCATCTCAGCCTCCCAGGTAACGGGGACTTCACACTAAAATCAATCATTTTATTTCATTTTTTATTTTTAGTGTAGTTTTTAGTTTTTTGTTTTTTGTTTTTTTTCCGAGACTGAGTCTTGCTCTGTTGCCCAGGCTGGAGTGCAGTGGTGCAGTCTCAGCTCACTGCAACTTCCACCTCCTGGTTTCAAGTGATTCTCGTGCCTCAGCCTCCTGAGTAGCTGGGACAACAGGTGCGTGCCACCAAGCCCAGCTAATTTTTTGTATTTTTAGTAGAGACGGGGTTTCACCGTGTTAGCCAGGATGGTCTCGATCTCCTGACCTCGGGATCCGCCTGCCTCGGCCTCCCAAAGTGCTGGGATTACAGGCGTGAGCCACCGCGCCCGGCCTGAAATGAACCGTTTTAAAACCTGCATTTCAGTGGGATTTAGTACATTCATAACATTGTGCAGCCGCTACTTCCACCTAGTTGGGAAGGGTTTTCGTCACCCCTGCGGGAAACCCTGCACCCCTTAGGCAGTCGTTCCTCATTCCCTTTGGCCCCTGGTGACCAGGGATCTGCCTTCTGTCTCCGTGAGCTTACTTATTCCGGATGTTCCATGTTCGCTACAGCAGTGCTGGCTCTGGGAGCTCGGGAGTCAGCCTGGGTTTCCAAAGTCTTCACAGGTGTGAACCTCTTGGTTCTGAGCTGCATCGTCGTCTCCGGCTTCATCAAGGGAGATCTGCACAACTGGCAGCTCACAGACGCCGACTACAAACGGGCCGGGCTGGGGTCCAACGACACCCACAGGTGAGGGCACACGTGCGCTGCTGTTTTTTTTTCATTTTTTAATTATTTTTTAAAATTTTTATTTTAATTTATATTATTTATTTATTTTATATTATTTATTTATTTATTTATTGAGACAGAAGTCTTGTTCTGTCCCCAGGCCAGAGTGCAGTCGGCCCAGGCGGAGTGCAGTGGCTGTGATCTTGGCTCACTGCCTCCCGGGTTTACGCCATTCTCCCTGCCTCAGCCTCCCCAGTAGCTGGGACTACAGGTGCCCGCCACCTCACGCCCAGCTAATGTTTTGTGTTTTCCAGTAGAGACAGGGTTTCACCATGTTAGCCAGGATGGCTCGCGGATCTCCTGAACTTGGATCTGCCCACCTCGCCTCCCAAAGTTCTCTGGATTACAGGTGTGACGCCACCGCGCCCGGCCTGTTTTTCTCTAATGTAACACCTGACTCGCGGTGACTCACGCTTGTAATGCCAGCACTTTGGGAGACCAAGGTGGGCAGAATTGCCTGAGCTCAGGAGTTCGCAACCAGCCTGGGCAACATGGTGACACCGTCTCTACTAAAATACAAAAAAAAAAAAAAATTAGCTGTGTGGTGGTGGCATATGCCTGTAGTCCCAGCTACTTGGGAGGCTGAGGCAGGAGAATTGCTTTAACTGGGGGCAGAGGTTGCAGTGAGCCGAGATCGCACGACTGAACAGAGTGAGACTCCATCTCAAAAAAAAAAATTTTTTTTTTAATTTTATTTTTTATTATTTATTATTAATTTTTTTTTTGAGACGGGTCTCACTGTGTCTCCAGGCTGGAGTGCAGTGGCGCGCGATCTCCGCCTCACTGCAAGCTCCGCCCCCGGGGTTCACGCCATTCTCCCGCTTCAGCCTCCCAAGTAGCTGGGACTACAAGCGGCCCGCTACCGACCCCCGGCTAGTTTTTGTATTTTTAGTAGAGACGGGGTTTCACCATGTTAGCCAGGATAGTCTCGATCTCCTGACCTTGTGTGATTCCACCCGCCTCGGCCTCCCAAAGTGCTGGGATTACGGCTTGAGCCACCGCGCCCGCCTAAATTTTTATTATTTTATTTATTTTTTTAAAATGGAGTCTCGCTCTTATCACAAGGCTGGAGTGCAGAGGGCACGATCTCGGCTCACTGCAACCTCTGCCTCCCGGGTTCAAGCAATTCTCGCCCTCAGCCTCCGAGTAGCTAGGATTACAGCGCTTGCCACCACCTACGCTCGGCTAATTTTTGTATTTTTAATAAGAGATGGGGTTTTACCATGTTGGCCAGGCGGTCTCGGAACTCCTGACCTCAAGTGAAACTCTGCCACACCATCTGTCCTCCAAATGCTAGGATTTCGAGCGTGAAGCCACTGTGCCTGGCCTGTTTTTTTATTTTAAAATTTATTTTTATTTTTTGAGACAGAGTCTCGCTCTGTTGCCAAGGCTAAAGTTCAGTGGCACAATCTTGGCTCACTGCAACCTCTACCTCCCGGGTTCAAGCGATTCTCCTGCTTCAGCCTCCTGAGTATCTGGGATTACAGGTGCCTGCCACCACACCTGGCCAATTTGTTTTTTTTTTTGTTTTTTTTTGTTTTTTTTAGTAGAGATGGGGTTTCGCCATGTTGGCCAGGCTGGTCTCAAACTCCTGACCTCAGGTGATCTGCCCACCTTAGCCTCTCAAAGTGCTGGGATTACAGGTGTGAACCACTCACTGCTCCTAGCCTAAAATTTATTTTTATTTTTTGAAACAGGGTCTTGCTCTGTCCCTCAGGCTGGAGTGCTTTAGCATGATCATGGCTCACAGCAGCCTCTGCCTCCCAGGCTCAATCGATTATCTAGATGTGCTCAATCGATCATATAGGTGTGCACCACCGCACCTAGCTAAGTTTTTAATTTTTTGTAGAGATGGGGTTTTGCCATGTTGCCCAGGCTGGTCTCAGCCTCTGGGCTCAAGATCCACCTGACTCAGCCTCCCAAAGTGCTGGGATTATAGGCGTGAGCCATTGCAACTGGCCAGAGGTGCCCTCTTGGACACAGGAGTGGGGGCTGGGGTGCAGAACCTGGACTATTGTGGGAACAGGGGGAATCTGGGCTGACGGAGCCGGATGACGGGGCGTGGGGAAGGCAGTGGAGGTCCAGGGCTTGTGGAATTAACTGAGCAGTTGGAGTTAACTGAGTCGTCCCAGAAAGACAGCTGCACACCTTACCAATGTTTCTTGTTCCTTCTCTCCCCGCAGCTTGGGCTCACTGGGCTCTGGCGGGTTTGTGCCTTTTGGCTTTGGCGGGATTCTCCATGGAGCAGCTACGTGTTTCTTTGCGTTTGTGGGTTTTGATGGCATCGCCACCACAGGTAACACGGTCGTTCTGTCTCATCGGGGGTTGGGCACAGTTTGGGGTGCCGCTGGGCACAGGTTTCATTAAAGGCTACCCTGCTCTCGGATGGGGAACAGGGAAGAGGGTTTCGCACCCTCGCTTCTGTGCGTCTTCCTGGCCCAGTGCATATACCTGTCCTGCAGGAGAAGAAGCCCTCCACCCTCACTGCTCCATCCCCTTGGGCATCGTGACCTCGATCTTCATCTGCTTCTTGGCCTATTTTGGTGTCTCAGCGGCGCTCACCCTCCTGGTGCCCTACTACCTGATATGTCCCGAGAACCCCTTGCCGGAGGCTTTTGTCCACATTGGATGGGCCCCCATCAGATATGCTGTGGCCATCGGCACCCTCTGTGCCCTGTCCTCCAGGTCAATGCTGGACGCTCTCTCCCTGTCTGCTGTCTGGTTCTCGGGTGTCCTGGGCCTTGTGTAAAGGGAGGAGACGCTTCACCCACAGAGGTGATGGAGCGGAAGCCCCAGTCCCTCTTGCTTCCTGAGTCCCCATGCGTGTTCCCGTTTTCTCCTGCATGCAGCCTCCTGGGTGCCATGTTCCCCATGCCTCGCGTGCTCTACTCGGTGGCCGAGGACGGGCTTCTTTTCCGTGGACTCGTCCAGATCCACACCCGCACCAGCACCCCTGTGGTGGCCACTGTCGTTTCCGGGACCGTCGCAGGTAAAGGCCCAGAATTCAGGCTTTCTTTCATCCGTTTTCTATGCGTTAGTTCCTCATCCTCTCCTACAGCCCATCCATTTTCACTTTTATTATTATTCATTAATTTAAAAAAAAATTTTTGTCTATTACAAAAGTTTATTTAATAAAAAGTTTAGGGCCGGGCACGGTGGCTCACGCCTGTAATCCCTGCACTTTGGGAGGCCGAGGCGGGCGGATCACGAGGTCAGGAGATGGAGACCATCCTGGCTAACACGGTGAAACCCCGTCTCTACTAAAAAATACAAAAAAAAACTAGCCGGGCGAAGTGGCAGGCACCTGTAGTCCCAGCTACTCGGGAGGCTGAGGTGGGAGGATCGCTTGAGCCCAGGAGGTTGAGGCTGCAGTGAGCCGAGGTCACGCCACTGCACTCCAGCCTGGGTGACAAAGCAAGACCCTGTCATAAAATAAAATAAAATAAAATAAAATAAAATAAAATAAGATAAGATAAAATAAAATAAAAAATAAAATAAAATAAAATAAAGGCAGGGTGCAGTGGCTGATGCCTGTAACCCCCATACTTTGGGAGGCAGAATCACTTGAGCCCAGGAGTTTGAGACCAGCCTGGGCAACAGAGCCAGACCCTGAGATCATTTTTTTGTCTCTGCAAAAAAACTTTTAACCATTAGCTGGCTGTGGGAGGCGGAGCTTGCTGTGAGCTGAGATCATGCCACTGCACTCCAGCCTGGGCAACAGAGCGAGACTCCATCTCAAACAAACAAACAAAAAATTAGCTGGGTGTGGTGGTACACCTGTAGTCCCAGCTACTCGGGAGGCTGAGGTGGGAGGATGGCTTGAGTGCAGCAGGTTAGGGCTGCAGTGAGGTACGATGATTCCTGTTTTTAAAGAAAAGAAAGGGCCGGGCGCGGTGGCTCAAGCCTGTAATCCCAGCACTTTGGGAGGCCAAGACGGGTGGATCATGAGGTCAGGAGATCGAGACCATCCTGACTAACA